GTTCTGGAAAGCCAATACGGTTGACGAACTAAACTATGCCATCGTTGTGCGTGAATGTGGATAAACAGAACCACTCCCTCGCCTGACTCAACCAGTCACCAACTCACCCGCGACTCTCAACCAGCCTAGGCGAGTTAAATGCACACCCGATCTCCACACAAACACCACCACCACCATCATCATGATCATCTTGAGAAACTCCCCCGCGAAGAAGTCCCATCATGCCTGCCAGAGCGTCGCCCCAACGCTCCCAAGGCGTTGGGGCCGCGGGAGGCGCCACCACGGGTTTTTGTCCACGACGAGAAGTGACGACCTCACGTGGGGAGAATCCCACGGCTGAACCCACGGACGGCCGAACCTGGACGGGCGCCCCTGACGGGCCCGTTCGAGATCCACACTTCGCCTGCGTGGACAAGAACAGCCGCCAGCGGCAGCGAGGAGGAGCTATAGCCCCTCCATCCGTCTTTGCAACACGCCCGCACAAAACCACCACGCACCTCCCAGCCACCACCACCACGCACCTCCCCTAACCACCACCACGCACCTCCCACCCACCACCACCACGCACCTCCCACCCACCACCACCACCACCACGCACCTCCCACCCACCACCACCACGCACCACCCACCACCACCACCACGCACCTCCCACCCACCACCACGCACCACCCACCACCACCACTACGCACCTCCCAGCCACCACCCACCACCACGCACCTCCCAGCCACCACCCACCACCACCACCACGCACCTCCCAGCCACCACGCACCACCCACCACCACGCACCTCCCAGCCACCACCCACCACCACGCACCTCCCAGCCACCACCCACCACCACCACGCACCTCCCAGCCACCACCCACCACCACGCACCTCCACTTTGCCAGAATGCTCTCGCAACGCCCATCCGTGGCACGGTTTTTAAAAGGGGCGCTTTATGACGGGCCGCGCGATTGTAAACGATAGAGCGGATAAGCGACGGTGACGCCGAATTAATTATCGGGTAATAAAGGTGTCAATTTCGAGTCCTTTACGCAAACTCAGATTTTTGTTTCAATATTTAGACTGCAGGAGGAATCCGATGAGCTGTGAAGCTCTTTTATCCACAGAATGATGTCCGGCATGGACCATGACACTTGGATTGTTGATATTGGTGCCGGTTCCTTGAGACGTGCTCGTTGGACAACCAAACATAAATCATGAATATTTTAGTAACCAGCTAAAGTAGACCCACTGAGCCGTGTAGCTCTCTTTCAGAGGCGACCTGGCCACACACGGATACCTAATCGAAGTGGCTTCGGTATGATCACATGCGAAACGTGCAAAGTTGCCAAATTAAATTATCACGCTCATCGTCGTAGGTGACGCCAAAGGAAAGAGAAAAAAAAATGAAGATATACATCGTGGTTGTGGTATGCGTCCAAAAAGAAGTCAGAGAGCACTGACCGTAGTAGCTACTAGTAGTAGTAGCTACTACACATGTAGTAGCTACTAGTACTACTACGAGTGTAGCTACTACACATGTAGTAGCTACATATGTGTAGTAGCTACACATGTAGTAGCTGCATATGTAGTAGCTACATATGTAGCGCCGGATGATCCTCGTAGCATAAGTAGCTACACATGTAGTAGCGACACATGGAGTAGTAGCTACAGGCCCCGCACTTTCAAGGGCCCCGCGCTAAATGCTTTCAAGCTATCAATTCTGGTTCAGTGATTCTGCACTTGCTCTATGACTATAGTACTATACCGCCTTCAACTTTTATTGAATGAATGGGTGTTTAAGGTTATCGATTTGTCGTATTATCTGGCTGTATAGCAAATGAAAGAATACAATTACTTTACTGTGCAAGTTAAACATTTGTCATTTTATATTTATCTATTTTTAGGGCCCCTTTATAACATATGCTCCAGGCCCTGCACTAGCTTCATCCGGCACTGAATACAGGTGTCAATCACCCGTGATTAAACTGGGGACATCAAGTTGATGGTCAATCCCCAGTCACCAATGACCGCACAAAATGAAACAACGCTCGGCTAGTTTTTATTTTACACTTAACTTGGCAAAATTCCAACTCTGGGAATGTTTCAGTGCCAGTGTGGCTGTTAGGCGATGGGAATGTTTCAGTGCCAGTGTGGCTGTTGGGCAATGGGAATGTTTCAGTGCCAGTGTGGCTGTTAGGCGATGGGAATGTTTCAGTGCCAGTGTGGCTGTTGGCCGATGGGAATGTTTCAGTGCCAGTGTGGCTGATAGGCGATGGGAATGTTTCAGTGCCAGTGTGGCTGTTGGCCGATGGGAATGTTTCAGTGCCAGTGTGGCTGTTAGGCGATGGGAATGTTTCAGTGCCAGTGTGGCTGTTGGCCGATGGGAATGTTTCAGTGCCAGTGTGGCTGTTAGGCGATGGGAATGTTTCAGTGCCAGTGTGGCTGTTAGGCGATGGGAATGTTTCAGTGCCAGTGTGGCTGATAGGTGAGGGGAATGTTTCAGTGCCAGTGTGGCTGATAGGCGATGGGAATGTTTCAGTGCCAGTGTGGCTGTTGGCCGATGGGAATGTTTCAGTGCCAGTGTGGCTGTTAGGCGATGGGAATGTTTCAGTGCCAGTGTGGCTGTTAGGCGATGGGAATGTTTCAGTGCCAGTGTGGCTGTTGGGCGATGGGAATGTTTCAGTGCCAGTGTGGCTGTTGGGCGATGGGAATGTTTCAGTGCCAGTGTGGCTGTTGGTCGATGGGAATGTTTCAGTGCCAGTGTGGCTGTTAGGCGATGGGAATGTTTCAGTGCCAGTGTGGCTGTTAGGTGATGGGAATGTTTCAGTGCCAGTGTGGCTGTTAGGCGATGGGAATGTTTCAGTGCCAGTGTGGCTGTTAGGCGATGGGAATGTTTCAATGCCAGTGTGGCTGTTAGGCGATGGGAATGTTTCAGTGCCAGTGTGGCTGTTGGCCGATGGGAATGTTTCAGTGGCAGTGTGGCTGTTAGGCGATGGGAATGTTTCAGTGCCAGTGTGGCTGTTGGCCGATGGGAATGTTTCAGTGCCAGTGTGGCTGTTGGTCGATGGGAATGTTTCAGTGCCAGTGTGGCTGTTAGGCGATGGGAATGTTTCAGTGCCAGTGTGGCTGTTAGGCGATGGGAATGTTTCAGTGCCAGTGTGGCTGTTGGCCGATGGGAATGTTTCAGTGCCAGTGTGGCTGATAGGCGATGGGAATGTTTCAGTGCCACTGTGGCTGTTGGGCGATGGGAATGTTTCAGTGCCAGTGTGGCTGTTAGGCGATGGGAATGTTTCAGTGCCAGTGTGGCTGTTAGGCGATGGGAATGTTTCAGTGCCAGTGTGGCTGTTAGGCGATGGGAATGTTTCAGTGCCAGTGTGGCTGTTAGGCGATGGGAATGTTTCAGTGCCAGTGTGGCTGTTAGGCGATGGGAATGTCTATGGCCCCAGCAGGGCGTGCACAAAATTGAGGAGCGGTGGTGTAGCAGGTTCGAGCTACGCTGCGCTACGAATCCGGTAACCCGGTTTGGATTCCAGCTCACGGCCAACACCGGTGACGATTACCTGAACCGGTCGTAGGCCTCCTCCCCTAGGTAGACTCAGCCTCAAATGAGTACCTGGTGCGGTATGTAAAACCATCGCCACTGGGGAGAGAAAGACGACCGGGCGTGGTGCTAGCCACCCACCCCCTCGTGTACTGTTCCGGCCTTCATAGGTGCTCGCTAACAGCACTTACCCCTACAGTCTGTTAAGGCTACACGGGGGGGGGTCTTTGTTTTCATATAAAAGTGCCACGCCTCCTAGTGTGGCTAAGAGGTCACTTGAAGGAATCTCAGAAGTATTTCTGTGATATCTCACTCTGTGGACCGCTGTCTAATGGGGATAAAACATTCGGTCTGCCAGATTCCCGAATGGATTAATCTTCTCTCGTCACATGACTAGAAGGTAGCCACCTGCCGACCACCTTGTCAGTGGTGGACTCATTACTCTGGGGCCAATGCAATAAGTATCCACATGTGCACCAATGATGTCTTTGAGGTATTCTGATCTCCCTCTTCCTAGCATTCCGAGGTCAAGGCTCCGTTCCTCGGGGTGATCGGGCATTTTTCCAGCGAAGCCCCACGTCTATGGAACGCGTTGCCTCGGACAATAAGTCAATCAGAATCTTTCGAGATATGCCCTGAAAAGTCACCCCTTTAAAATGGCCCTTCCCCCTCCACCACCCAGAGTTTTGGTCGTTTACGCGGCTGGTTCTGTCGTATTTCATGCTGCCCATGCACGGCGGCGCATTGGGATCCTTGGATGAAATGCGACTTGAAGATGTCAATAATGACGATGAATGTACATTGTTTGAGAGTCCTATCCGAACTGACCACCGCCGGTCATGGGTGACCAGCAGATGGCAGCACAGCGATTGCTCCGTGAAGCTCCCAGAGTCACCGCCTCGTGCGTGTGTGGAGGAGTGTCGCCGGCTTCCCCGGGGTCTCCTGCCACGCGCAGCTCAACGCTCGACACATGGAATTTGGCTCAAACGTTCCCCATGTTGCAGAGCATCCTACTGAACAATAGGATTCCGATTCAGCGAGGATTCCCCCGGTTTAAGAGCTTTAAAAAAAATACGTCATGCAATACTAAATTCATAACCCCACTGTCAATCCACTGCTGGATGAGCGCCTCTCCGTGCCGAGGCAGGTTCACAGCGGAGTGCGCTAACCACTGCGCCACCACTCGGGCCCCGTGTTGCTGAGAGGCATTTGAAATCGCCACCAGAAGAATGGAGACGTGCGTCGTTTGACTTACGGGCGACGCTTTGAAACTTCGAATGCAGATTGCGTCTCTCTTGTACACTCTGCCTCTCCATTGGACGTCCGCGTCTCCCCGTGTCTCCATTGTCTGCCGCGTCTCTCTAACACTCAATCTCCCAAGACCGAGACTCCCACCACGACCACCACCAACTCCATTCCCGCACTACCCCCCACCCCATCTCCTCCCGTGCGAGAGAACCCCCCCCCCCCCTCCCACGTGACTCCTCCCCCGGCTAGCATCCACCACCAAACGTCCTCCAGCATCATCATCGTGGTTGTCATCTCTCTCACTTCTCACGCTTCATCCACCATCAGCCGCTCCTCGGACCAGAGTCCTAAACGAGAGCCGCGGGGAGAGAGAGAGAGAGGGAGAGAGGCTTCGCGGAGTGCGCGATTCCCCCGGGAGTATAGAGGGAGTCGAGGTCTCCTGTGGCGGGTGCTGGTGGCGAGACGCTGGGGACAGGGAGACTCCCAGAGCCGGGCTCTGGGAAGGAAGCACGAGGGGGGTGGGGGGGGGTCCGCGCGGCGTGGTTGTGTCTCGCTGCCGTCTCTCCGTCTCTGCCGTCCCTAACTCGCCTCTCCACTCCGTTTCTCGTGCGTCTCCTGTGCCTACAATCACTTTACTGCGTCTTGGCGTGGTGTCTCTCTGCGGTGTTTCGAGTCTTTGATGTGTCTCCGGTCTTTGCTGTGTCCCAGTGCTGTCTCTGTGCTGTTTCTCTGTCACATATCTGCTGTCTCTTTCTCGTTCCTGCTGTCTCTCTAATCTCATTGCCGTGTCTCTCTGCCGTGTCTGGCTGCATGCTGTGTCTCTCCAGTAATTGCTGTCTATCGACTGTGTCTCTGTAACCTCTGCTGTGCCTTTCTAGTCCCTGCTGTGTCGCTAGTATCTGCTGTGTCTCAGCTGTCTTTCTGTCGTGTCTCTCTGCTGTCTCTCTAGTCTCTTTACTGTGTCTCTGCCGTGTCTGGCTGCATGCTGTCTCTCTAGTCCTCGCTGTGTCTATCTCGTCTCAGCTGTCTCCCAGTGTATTTGCCGTGTGTCTGTCTGCCGTGTCTCTGTGATCTCCGCCGTGTCTCTGTGATCTCCGCCGTGTCTCTGTGATCTCCGCCTTGTCTCCACATCGACTCTTTCTCACCATCCACTCCACATCGACTCTTTCTCAACATCCACTCCACATCGACTCTCTCTCACCATCCACTCCACATCGACTCTCTCTCACCATCCACTCCATATCGACTCTTTCTCACCATCCACTCCACATCGACTCTCTTTCACCATCCACTCCACATCGACTCTTTCTCACCATCCACCCCACATCGACTCTTTCTCACCATCCACTCCACATCGACTCTCTTCCACTGCCACCCTCTTGCGCCTCTTCTGCCCTTCTTCTTGCTCCTCGTCCAGCCTCTTACCCCCACCACCACCCCCACCACCAACCCCACCACCCTCTCTGCTCCTCCACCCGCCGCTCCATCACCCCCAGCTCGGCGATGTCGAACCGCGACACAACCGGCGACCTCAGCAGTGGCCCAACGAGACGCCCACCCAGGGCCCTCGCAGAAGACGTCACCGGCGGCCTAACAAGGGAGCCGAGAGGGGAGGTCGCCGGCGGCCTAACAAGGGAGCCGAGAGGGGAGGTCGCAGGCGGCCTAACAAGGGAGCCGAGAGGGGAGGTCGCCGGCGGCCTAACAAGGGAGCCGAGAGGGGAGGTCGCCGGCGGCCTGGCAAGGGACCCGGCTCGCGACCTCGCGGGGGCCCTTCGCCCCGCGCCACGTACCCACTGGGTGGTGAGCGCCCTCGCCGCGCACTTTGGTCACGACCGCGGGGCCGAGAACGAAATCGCGGTGCTGGCCACCGGCCTCGACCAGTACCTCCAGGAGGTGTTCCACCACCTGGACTACCCGGGACTGGGCACCCTGCCCGCAGACGACTTCAGGGCACTGTGCGACGTCTTGGGCCTCACGGACGAACGCGCACGTGGTGGCGATGGCGGTGACGACGACGACCAGAGTGATTATGATGATGGAGGAGGTGGCGGTGGTGGTTGTGGTGGCAGTAGCAGCATCCGTCTCCTGAAGGACCTCCCACAGAGGTTGACCTTCAGACAGTTCCACGCCAGGCTGTGCGACCACTTTTCCTGCGCCCAGCGTCCACCTGGCCCCGGGGAACGCATGCCCGTGGGCGAGGAGAACGAGCTCATTGAAGCTCAGATCAGGGTGCGAGACCCTGTGAGGAGGAGGAGGAGGAGGGTTGCGACGACGACAAGGATGATGATGTCGAGGAACACGTGCAGCAGCAGCAGTAACAGCAGCAGCGGTAGCAGCGGCGGCAGCGGCGGCGGCGGCAACGGAGGCTGCGCGGCTTCCCCACCCCGTGGCGACGGCGAGACGGACGGGGGGTCAACGGAGGGGTCGGATGAGTGGACGCATCTCGTGGAGGACGAGAACGCGAGCCTGAGGGAGCTGGTGGAGGACCTGAGAGTGGCGCTGCAGAGCAGCGACGCGCGCTGCCTGGCGCTCAACGTGGCGCTGCGCAAGAGGCGCCGGCAGGAGCCCTCCGGTTCCACCCCGGGCCCTCACCCGGGTTCTCACCTGGGCACTCACCTGGGCACTCACCTGGACCCTCACCTGGACGCGCACGTAGGTTCTCACCTGGGCCCTCACCTGGACCCTCACCTGGGCCCTCACCTGGGGGGCACTCACCTGGACTCTCACCTGGACACTCGAGTAGGTTCTCACCTGGGCCCTCACCTGGACCCTCACCTGGGCCCTCACCTGGTCCCTCACCTGGTCCCTCAACTGGACCCTCACCTGGGCCCTCACCTGGACCCTCACCTGGGCCCTCACCTGGACCCTCACCTGGGCCCTCACCTGGGGGGCCCTCACCTGGACTCTCACCTGGACACTCGCGTAGATTCTCACCTGGTCCCACACCTGGGCCCTCAACTGGACCCTCACATGGACCCTCACCGGGACCCTCACCTGGACCCGTGCCTGCAGGTGGCTCTGCGGCACGCGGTGCACAGGGAACGCGCGCTCGTGCACGCGCAGGTGGAGACGGCGAGGAGGGTGCGCGAGGCGCGGCGCCTCCTCGCCAAGGGGCTCGCGCGCGTGCTGCAGCTCGAGGCGCTATGGAGCAGGTGCGGTGTGTGATGGGTGGAGCAGGTGTGGTGTGTGATGGGTGTAACAGGTGTGGTGTATGATAGGTGTAACAGGTGCGGTGTGTGATGGGTGTGACAGGTGTGGTGTGTGATGGGTGTAACAGGTGTGGTGTGTGATGGGTGGAGCAGGTGTGGTGTGTGATAGGTGTAACAGGTGTGGTGTGTGATGGGTGTAACAGGTGTGGTGTGTGATGGGTGTAACAGGTGTGGTGTGTGATGGGTGTAACAGGTGTGGTGTGTGATGGGTGTAACAGGTGTGTGTGATGGGTGTAACAGGTGTGGTGTGTGATGGGTGTAACAGGTGTGGTGTGTGATAGGTATAACAGGTGCGGTGTGTGATGGGTGTAACAGGTCTGGGGTGTGAAGGGTGTAACAGGTGTAGTGTGTGAAGGGTGTAACAGGTGTGGTGTGTGATGGGTGTGACAGGTGTGGTGTGTGATGGGTGTGACAGGTGTGGTGTGTGATGGGTGTAACAGGTGTGGTGTGTGATGGGTGGAAGCAGGTGTGGTGTGTGATGGGTGTAAACAGGTGTGGTGTGTGATGGTGTGACAGGTGTGGTGTGTGATGGGTGTAACAGGTGTGGTGTGTGATGGGTGTAACAGGTGTGGTGTGTGATGGGTGTAACAGGTGCGGTGTGTGATGGGTGTAACAGGTGTGGTGTGTGATGGGTGTAACAGGTGTGGTGTGTGATGGGTGTAACAGGTGCGGTGTGTGATGGGTGTAACAGGTGTGGTGTGTGATGGGTGTAACAGGTGCGGTGTGTGATGGGTGTAACAGGTCTGGTGTGTGATGGGTGTAACAGGTGTGGTGTGTGATGGGTGTAACAGGTGTGGTGTGTGATGGGTGTGACAGGTGTGGTGTGTGATGGGTGTAACAGGTGTGGTGTGTGATGGGTGTAACAGGTGTGGTGTGTGATGGGTGGAGCAGGTGTGGTGTGTGATGGGTGTAACAGGTGTGGTGTGTGATGGGTGTAACAGGTGTGGTGTGTGATGGGTGTAACAGGTGCGGTGTGTGATGGGTGTAACAGGTGTGGTGTGTGATGGGTGTGAACAGGTGTGGTGTGTGATGGGTGTAACAGTTGTGGTGTGTGAATGGGTGTAACAGGTGTGGTGTGTGATGGGTGTAACAGGTGTGGTGTGTGATGGGTGTAACAGGTGTGGTGTGTGATGGGTGTAACAGGTGTGGTGTGTGATGGGTGTAACAGGTGTAGTGTGTGATGGGTGTAACAGGTGTGGTGTGTGATGGGTGTGACAGGTGTGGTGTGTGATGGGTGTTACAGGTGTGGTGTGTGATGGGTGTGACAGGTGTGGTGTGTGATGGGTGTAACAGGTGTGGTGTGTGATGGGTGTAGCAGGTGTGGTGTGTGATGGGTGTAACAGGTGTGGTGTGTGATGGGTGTGACAGGTGTGGTGTGTGATGGGTGTAACAGGTGTGGTGTGTGATGGGTGTAACAGGTGCGGTGTGTGATGGGTGTAACAGGTGCGGTGTGTGATGGGTGTAACAGGTGTGGTGTGTGATGGGTGTAACATGTGCTGGTGTGTGATGGGTGTAACAGGTGTGGTGTGTGATGGGTGTAACAGGTGTGGTGTGTGATGGGTGTACAGGTGTGGTGTGTGATGGGTGTAACAGGTGTGGTGTGTGATGGGTGTAACAGGTGTGGTGTGTGATGGGTGTAAGCTGGTGTGGTGTGTGATGGGTGTAACAGGTGTGGTGTGTGATGGGTGTAACAGGTGTGGTGTGTGATGGGTGTAACAGGTGTGGTGTGTGATGGGTGTAACAGGTGTGGTGTGTGATGGGTGTAACAGGTGTGGTGTGTGATGGGTGTAACAGGTGTGGTGTGTGATGGGTGTAACAGGTGTGGTGTGTGATGGGTGTAACAGGTGTGGTGTGTGATGGGTGTAACAGGTGTGGTGTGTGATGGGTGTAACAGGTGTGGTGTGTGATGGGTGTAAAGCGTGTGGTTGTGATGGGTGTAACAGGTGTGGTGTGTGATGGGTGTAACAGGTGTGGTGTGTGATGGGTGTAACAGGTGTGGTGTGTGATGGGTGTAGCAGGTGTGGTGTGTGATGGTGTAACAGGTGTGGTGTGTGATGGGTGTAACAGGTGTCGTGTGTGTAACAGGTGTGGTGTGTGATGGGTGTAACAGGTGTGGTGTGTGATGGGTGGAGCAGGTGTGGTGTGTGATGGGTGTAACAGGTGTGGTGTGTGATGGGTGTAACAGGTGCGGTGTGTGATGGGTGTAGCAGGTGTGGTGTGTGATGGGTGTAACAGGTGTGGTGTGTGATGGGTGTAACAGGTGTGGTGTGTGATGGGTGTAACAGGTGTGGTGTGTGATGGGGTGTAACAGGTGCTGGTGTGTGATGGGTGGAGCAGGTGTGGTGTGTGATGGGTGTGAACAGGTGTGGTGTGTGATGGGTGGAAGCAGGTGTGGTGTGTGATGGGTGTAACAGGTGTGGTGTGTGATGGGTGTGACAGGTGTGGTGTGTGATGGTGTAACAGGTGTGGTGTGTGATGGGTGTATCAGGTGTGGTGTGTGATGGGTGTAACAGGTGCGGTGTGTGATGGGTGGAGCAGGTGTGGTGTGTGATGGGTGTAACAGGTGTGGTGTGTGATGGGTGTAGCAGTGGCGGTGTGTGATGGGTGTAACAGGTGTGGTGTGTGATGGGTGTAACAGGTGTGGTGTGTGATGGGTGTAACAGGTGTGGTGTGTGATGGGTGTAACAGGTGTGGTGTGTGATGGGTGTAACAGGTGTGGTGTGTGATGGGTGTAACAGGTGTGGTGTGTGATGGGTGTAACAGGTGTGTGTGTGATGGGTGTAACAGGTGTGGTGTTGATGGGTGTAACAGGTGTGGTTTGTGATGGGTGTAGACAGGTGTGGTGTGTGATGGGTGTAACAGGTGTGGTGTGTGATGGGTGTAACAGGTGTGGTGTAGTGATGTGTGTAACAGGTGTCGTGTGTGATGGGTGTAACAGGGTGTGGTGTGTGATGGGTGTAACAGGTGTGGTGTGTGATGGTGTAACAGGTGCGGTGTGTGATGGGTGTAACAGGTGTGGTGTGTGAAGGGTGTAACAGGTGTGGTGTGTGATGGGTGTAACAGGTGTGGTGTGTGATGGGTGGTAACAGGTGGTGGTGTGTGATGGGTGTAACAGGTGTGGCGCGGTGATGGGTGGAGCAGGGTGCGGTGTGTGATGGGTGTAACAGGTGCGGTGTGTGATGGGTGGAGCAGGTGTGGTGTATGATGGGTGTGACAGGTGTGGTGTGTGATGGGTGGAGCAGGTGTGGTGTGTGATGGGTGTAACAGGTGTGGTGTGTGATGGGTGTGACAGGTGTGGTGTGTGATGGGTGTAGCAGGTGTGGTGTGTGATGGGTGTAACAGGTGTGGTGTGTGATGGGTGTAACAGGTGCGGTGTGTGATGGGTGGAGCAAGGTGTGGTGTTGATGGGTGTGACAGGGTGTGCGTGTGATGGGTGTAACAGGTGTGGGTGTGTGATGGGTGTAACAGGTGTGGTATGTGATGGGTGGAGTATGTGTGGTGTGTGATGGGTGTAGCAGGTGCGGTGTGTGATGGGTGTAACAGGTGTGGTGTGTGATGGGTGTAACAGGTGTGGTGTGTGATGGGTGTAACAGGTGCGGTGTGTGATGGGTGTAACAGGTGTGGTGTATGATGGGTGTGGACAGGTGTGGTGTGTGATGGGTGTGACAGGTGTGGTGTGTGATGGGTGGAGCAGGTGTGGTGTGTGATGGGTGTAACAGGTGTGGTGTGTGATGGGTGGAGCAGGTTGCGGTGTGTGATGGGTGTAACAGGTGTGGTGTGTGATGGGTGTAACAGGTGTGGTGTGTGATGGGTGTAACAGGTGTGGTGTGTGATGGGTGTAACAGGTGTGGTGTGTGATGGGTGTAACAGATGTGGTGTGTGATGGGTGTAACAGGTGTGGTGTGTGATGGGTGTGACAGGTGTGGTGTGTGATGGGTGTAACAGGTGTGGTGTGTGATGGGTGGAGCAGGTGTGGTGTGGTGATGGGTGTAACAGGATGTGTGTGTGTGATGGGTTGTAACAAACAGGTGTGGTGTGTGATGGGTGTAACCATGCGTGGTGTAGTATGGGTGTAACAGGTGTTGGTGTGTGATGGTGCGTAACAGGTGTGGTGTGTGATGGGTGTAACAGGGTGTGGTGTGTGATGGTTGTAAGCAGGTGTGGTGTGTGTACCAGTGTGGGTGTGATGGGTGGTAACCAGGTGTGGTGTATGAATGGGTGTGAGCAGGTCGGTGTGTGAGTGGTGTAATAGGTGTGTGTGTGATGGGTTGTAGTGTGTGTGTGATGGGTGTACACAGGTGTGGTAGTGGGATGGGTGTAACATGATGTGGTGTGTGTAACAGGTGTGGTGGTGTGAGGGTGTAACAGGTGTGGTGTGTGACGGGTGGAGCAGGTGCGGTGTTGTGGATGGGGTAAACAGGGGTGGTGTGTGAATGGGTGTACACAGTGTGGTGTGTGATAGGTGCTGCAAGTGTGTGATGGGTGTAACAAGTGTGTGGTGGTGGGAGTAACAGGTTTGTTATGGGTGCTGCAGATGTGTCCGTGATGGGTGCTGTAGGTGTTTGTGAAGAGTCCTGCAGGTGTGTTATGGGTGCTACAGGGATTGTGATGAGTGATGCAGGTGTGTACTAGGTACTGCAGTTGTGTGAGGGTGGAACAGGTGTTTGAATGCTGGTGTATATGTGTGTGCAGATAACTTCTACAGATGTACGAAGGGCAGTACACGTGTTTGACGGATAGGTAAAGTGTGTGAAGGATAGCGCATGCTAAGAGACTCGATCTCAATGAAGTCACCGCGGCCTGGTGGAACAGATCCTCAATAATTGGGGTGCTTTCGTTCGTCTCCATGAGCCTCAGGCAATCGTTACCAAAATTAATTTAAAAATTCGTTCCACTGTCAACACTCGTTGCCCTCCCATGCCGAGCCTGACCACCGCCATAGGAACGTGGAATGTCCACCACTGGCCTCACGAAATGCGCATCGCCCGGCGCTGCTTTTGAATGGAACAGAGATACGCGAACTTATTGTTGTTGTGTGTGTGTTGCGTGTGTGTGTTTGGTGTGTGTGTGTGTATTTGTGTTTGTCTGTGTGTGTTTGTGTGTGTTTTGTGTGTGTTTGCGTGTGTGTGTTTGTGCGTGTTTGTCTGTGTGTGTTTGTGTGTGTTTTGTGTGTGTTTTGTGTGTGTTTGTATGTGTGTTTGTGTGTGTGTGTGTTTGTGTGTGTCTGTGTGGTTGTGTGTGTCTGTGTGTTTTGTGTGTGTGTGTGTGTTTGCGTGTGTGTTTGTGTGTGTTTTCTGTGTGTGTGGTTGTGTGTGTGTTTTGTTTGTGTGTGTGACTGTGTGTGTTTGTGTGTGTTTTGTGTGTGTGTCTGTGTGGTTGTGTGTGTGTGTTTGTGTGTGTGTTTTTGTGTGTTTCGTGTCGACCAAGGGGACGTCCGCTTTCCAATTCAAAGCGAGTGTGAGGGCATGGTGTGGTGGGTGGGTGTGGGTTGGTATGTGTAGTGGGTGGGTGTTGTGGGGGGGGGAGGAGATGTCGAGATCCTTTCACAGAGTTTGTTAGGGGGCAGGGAGAGGGTGGCGGGAATGGGTGGGGGGGTGGCACGCGGATCGCTGTGTCCCTACAGCACAGCAGCTGGGCTCTCACTCGCTCGCCCGGGGCAGATGCCAGCACAATGGGGACGGAGAGAGAGGAGACAGAGGAGACCCAGGCCGGTCAAACATTCAAACATTGGGCGCTTTTGAAACAGGAGGGTGATGGTGGGGGAGCACAACAAAAGGGAAAGCAGCCCCATCACGCCGTGGCCACGAACGTCAAAGGCAAGATAATTAAATGTTCTCTCATGCAAATTTAGCGGGTGTTGTGTGCGTTGCTTTCACACCAGTCACTGCGGCGAGATGCGTGTGGAGCGGTGAGCGCTGCGCTACGAACCCGGCGACCCGAGTTGGATTCTCGTTCACGGCCAACACCGGTGGCGATTGGCTGAACCGGTCCTGGGCCTCCACTAGGTCGACTCAGCCTCAAATGCGTACCCGGTGCGGTGTGTAAATATCGTCACTAGGGAGACAAAGGCGGCCGGGCGTGGTGCTGGCCACCCACCCCCTCGTGTGCCGTGCCGGCCTTCGTAGGTGCTCGCTAACAGCACTTGCCCCAACAGTCTGTTAAGGCTACACGGGGGATCTTTGTTTTTTGTCACACCGGTGACTGCCGCGAGTTTGTGTTGTTGTTGTTGTTGAAATAGCCGTCTTGTTTGTTGTTCTTGTTGTTGTGGTGGTGATGGTGGTAATGCCCGAGATGAAATCTCGCCAGATCTCAAAAGCTAAGCAGTGGTTGAGGCTGGATAGTGTTCGGATGGGCGAACAACGGGTGCTGTAACAGGGGGCTGTCGCGTGGAGCAAAACATCCACGAATGTTCTTGCGCTCTCTGCAGCCCCAACAAGCTTCACCGACCTGCGCTGACCAGCGTGGTGAGGTATGGTCAAATATTCACAGCGAGTCTGCAGGGCGTGGTGGGGAAGCTCTCATCCAGCAGTCGATCCTCCCGGGTCGCTCTCACAAATGAGACGATCCTCGTCTCTTGAGTTACTTGGCCTCGTTAAACTGAACTTTACAACAAAACATTGGGCAGTTAGCAAATGTGGAAATGTGGAATTTCCGCACTTGGCGGAGATGGGCATTGTCCTGCGCTCGCTTGAACGCGGAGACAGCGGACAGGAGCTTTGCATGCCGCGTGGTGAGATGACGATGATTCTCAGCTTCTCTCTCTCTCCCTGGCTCGGGGTTCGCACGTCGGTGGCGAGATGTTAGCTACCTCGCCTGGCATGCAGGGGGTCATACATTTGAGAAGTGCATTGCCCGAGCGAATAACCCGTTGAGCTACACACGGCCCTCTTTTCAAGTGTGTCTCGGTCAACAGATAGACACGGCCTGGAAGAGTTAATAAACAAGATCTTACAAAATATTTAAAATGTAAAGTTAAAATTAAAACCAAGCGATCATACAAAGCAATTACGTACATTTGCATTGTTTCGACCTCAACAATGTCTGTTGACAAGAGTACAATGATGGCAGAGTGGCGATCCCCAGAGAAGACTTCGCCACTTGGTTCCAAAACTTTGGAGCAGCAGCCACCCACGGTAAACGCTTTTTGGACCAAGTTCAGAACGAAATCTAGGAATCGTGAACAAAGGTCGTGGGTTCGATCCCGACCCTGACGACACCTGTTGTATATTTGGAGTTTGCGTGTCTCTCTCTCCTCTCTCATCATCATCACGGTGGCTAGGAGATGTTAACTACCTCGTCTGGTATACAGGAGGTCGTGGCGTCGATCCTGACCCTGACGATGCCTGTTGTATATTAGGAGTTTGCGTGTCTCTCTCTCCGTGGTCTCGTGGATTTTTCTCCGGGTCCTCAGTTTTTTCCCCTCCACATTTAGAATCAACATCACGCGTTTAGAGTAATTTTGTTTGCTAGAAATGACCACGTGTTGGTAAGCCACTTCGTTGAGCTTTCATTTGTGGCGCTGTCGCTGAAAAATAGCTACCATAGCTCAGCGGGCCTTGGTAGAATAAAAGCTCGTTGAGAGAGTTCCAGATACAACTCGTGGACAGTCAAACTCGTGGATAGCAAGTTCGTAAATAACGAGGGAATATTCTACACGAAAATTTCGCGATAACGTAACTTACACATGAGGGAGCGAATTCGATTTTCGTTTCATGAAATTAGCGGGTTTTTTTCAAATGATTAATATTTTGTCGTAATATCGTGCTTTAAAAATGTTTGCTGCATTCTTTAAAAAAGAGATATAACTTCGTCGAATTATGTTTCCATAGTAACGCATCTCCAATCGTATACAGTAACCTAAGATGATGGGGGAAATATATTTTTTACGAACGGAATTTCGATTTATGGACTTTTCCTGATCGTATCTGTTAAAGACGGTCACTCGCGTAGGGCGCTTTCAGATGCTCTTCTGCGGGCCGTCTGGAACGCTCTTCCTTTCGATATTACGAAACCACTGGAGCTACGCACTTTTAAATGATCATCTAGATTTAAAACTAATTTCTTTAAACCCGCTTTTTGTGTTTAGTTTGTTGTCCTTCCCCCGCACCTCCGCTGAGCACGGTTGGCTACGTACGGTGCGAAAGAAGTCCAAGGTACAGTACGTACATGCCCTCTATAGGCGCTGGCTCGAGGAGTTTGCTCTACAGCTTTGTAGGTCGACTCAGCCTCAAATGATTACCTTTATGCGGTGTGTAAACCATCGCTACTAGGGAGACAAAGGTGGCCGGGCGTGGTGCTGGCCACCCACCCCCTCGTGTGCCGTTCCTGGCCTTCATAGGTGCTCGCAAATCAGCGCTTGGACCAACAGTCTGTTCAGGCTATACGGGGGAGGGGGGTCTTTGTCTTTGTATGTTGAGCTTCTTTTGCACCGTACGTAGCCAACCGTGCTAATGTGGTGGCGGTGCGGCACACACAAGCCGCTGTGTGCCATGCCGGCCTTCGTAGGTCCCTGCTACCACCGACGACACTTGCCCACCCCCCCCAACTCCTACCGCCCCATCAATCTGTCAAAGGCTCTAGCGGAGTGTGTGTGTGGGGGGGGGCACGGGAGATCTTTGACTTTGCGATGGCGTGGGTTTGCAGGCACCAGGCGCATCGCGTTCAGCGCTCCTGGGCGGCGGAGCGCGACAGAAGCTTCTCGTGCGCCTCTCTCCCGTCGCCCAGACGCCGCTCGCCCACGGGCGGCGCTGCCTCGCCCACGTCGCAAGGTGCACGCGGGGCAGTTGTCGCGGCGGCGGCCGGCGGCGGCGGCCGGCAGCGGTGGCAGCGGTGGCACGTCTCGATCGCGCCGCAGTGCGGCGACGATTTTACGAGATCAAAGCCACGAGGAGCATGGGCGAAGGGGAGAAGGTGCCCTGCGTGTATGCATTTATTCTTTTGGACAGCTTGTGGGGGGCAAAACAAACAAAAAAGCTTCATGGCTCATCGGATTCCTCCAGTCCAAAGAGAGATGATTTCCGACGGTGGGTTTCTTTCGCACCGTACGTAGCCAAACCGTGCTAATTCGGGAGGTGCGATCGGATGGACGACGTCAGAGGAGGACCGTGCAGAGATGGGGTTCGATGGACTTAACCGTCACCAGGGCACCGAGGACCAATATCTGTACTTTGGCACCCACGTACTGTGGTCCGTTACTGGTGGAATTCAAGGGGCTTCAAGATCCACCATCAGAGAGCAATAACCCAGCAATCACCCGGATGGATTTATCCAAGTACGATTATTGTGCTCGAGACACGAAGCACAAGCGGCCACATATATATGTTGGGAGAAGTTACTTTGTTTTAATGTAGGGATTCTCAAGTCGGATATTTGTTTACTTCCCACCAGCCGTAGCGAGGATTGCTGATTTGCTTATGCAGCGGTGTTGGAACAGTTATGGGAGCACAGCTGATGCATCTGCCAGTCATCTCAATCAGTCAACCCATGGCACCTGGATCTGTCCCGTGACCTGCTTACCGGCAGAGAGAGCCTTCGACACTTCACGTGGCCTCAAAGTGCACCTAGCCTGGCATGAGCGCCGTGGCGACATCACCGGCACGTTAGTGGTGAACGGCCATTGTTGCTGTTGGTGGTGGTATTTGTGTTCTGATTTGTTCTGAGATCCATGCGCACTTTTTTGACGGTGTACCCGTGGATCGCTATACACGCAAGGGCAACTGCTGCTCCAAAGTCCTCCGCAGTGCTTCTCGCAACTCCCCATTCGCACAGTTGGCTACGTACGGTGCGAAATAGGTCCCACGTGCACACATACACTAGTGAAGGCCATTCTGCCACCAACAGTGAGGTGAGCAGGCAAATCGCACGGCTGCCTGCACCACGGTGGTAAGATGATAACTACCTCGCCTGGTATAAAGCAGTTCGTGGGTTCGATCCCAACCCTGGCGCCTGCTGTATATTTTGAGTTTGTAAGTTCTCCCCGTGGTCGCGTGGATTTTTATCCGGGTCCTCTGTTCCCCCCCCCCCACCGTTATAATCAACGTGCGTTTAGAGATTATTTGACTGCTATAAATTGCCACGTGTTAAGCCGCTTCTCGTTGAACTATCATTTGCGGCTGGGTCACCTCTTGAAAAAGAGCTAGAGTGCTAGACAGCTCAGTGGGCTTTACCTGGTAAAATAGTATATATGATAAAGCGCCCCTAAATAAATAAATAAAACACCAAAAAAGACTTTTACTTGCATAGTAAGTGATTGTATTTTTTCATTTGCTATACAGCCACAGATAATACGACAAATCGCTAACCTTAAACACCCAATCGTTCGTAAAATGTTGAAGGCGGTATAGTACTATAGTAATAGAGCAAGTGCAGAATCACTGAACCGGAATTGATAGCTTGAAAGCATTTAGCGCGGGGCCCTTGAAAGTGCGGGGCCCGTAGCTGCTACACGTGTAGCAGCTGCTACACGTTCGCTGCTACGATCATTAATCCGGCATTGCCCATGGCCCCCGGCTCGTCCGTCGTCCGCAGGCGAGGAACGTCTTCTCCTCCGTGCCGTGGAGGGCCAGGAGGCGCCGGGCGAGGCCGTGGACGCGTGGAGATGCGGGCCTCGTGCCGAGGCCGGCTTCCCGCTGCCCGGCAAGCGGCCGACGCTGCCGCCCGACTGCTGTCCCTACGGGTGCGTGCGTGGGTGTCGGGAGGGACAGTGGGGGGGGGGGGGGGGGGGGTGGGGACTCATCCCTTTAGTCAGTCCGCTGCTGGATGAGGGCCTCGCTGGAGTTGCTTGTGCAGGCTTCACCGCGCCGCCGGGCGGTGCGCGTTGGCGATGCCAGCACCGCAGCACCTACGGACAGCAACGGTTGGCTACGTACGGTGGGAAAGAAGTTCGCCGTACGTACGTACACCCTGCCTGCCAACTTGAACCCACGGGCGTACTGAGTACGTACGTATGCAGTATCGCATACGAATGCAAAAAACAAAACGTCGGTTTTGACACGAGTGATCCGACTCAAGTCTCGCGCGCTTAAGAATCGGTACACATCGAGAAGTGTGTAGGTGCGCCGCCTGCACCCCTCCGATTAGCCCTCGCACCTCCCCATTAGCACGGTTGGCTACATACGGTGCGAAAGAAGTTCAACATACAAAGACAAAGATCTCCCATATAGCCTTAACAGACTGTTGGGGCAAGTGCTAATTGGCGAGCACCTATGAAGGCCAGGAACGGCACACGAGGCTTTCCCGGATGAACAAGAGTCATAGTAATGATTAAGCAAAAATATAGAGGAAACATTTTGATTTAAAGCTTTCGTGACTGCAGGGATTCATATTCTTGGACTTTACCGAAAGAACCAAGTATATAGAGGAATAAGTTGAAGATAATGATACACGAAGACATGTTATGACTAAATAAAGAGCAGTAAGATGATGACGATCATTTTAATTTCAATAGTGCTATAATGGCGATGATGATGATGTTGATGAAAATAAAACATCATTAGCAGTATGATGATGGTAATAATGATATATTGAGTAATTTTCATACCACAAGGTTGCAGGCCTCTTGGCGCAAGTTTAGATAAAAACAAACACATTTACAAGGTTAAATGCTGTAAAAACACTCATCATAATATAATAAAGTACAGAGAAAAGGAAAAAAATGAACACAACAGTAAAATAATCATGAGATTCCAGATTAGAATCAGAAGGCTAAATTGTATATATCGACCTGAATTGTTGATTTTTAAGTAGCTACTTTTGGATAAAACCTCTGACATCATCAGACAGACAGTTAATAAATAAACAGTATGATGACCACGATGAACAGAAATCTGTCAATCAATCAACGGTCGCATTATGATTAGAAGAACATGCGTAAGTCAGTCACGGCTGTCTCTCATGCACGATCCCATACGACCATCCATTAAAATCTGTAAGCCTATTGTTAGGTACATCTTCTTTGGTTGTTTCGGTAAAGTCACGTAGAATGAGAATAAAATAATAAATTGATAAAATAAAATAACACAATAATATTATTAATAATAAATTGATAAAATAAAATAACACAATAATATTATTGTGTTATTTTATTTTATCAATTTATTATTTTATTCTCATTCTACGTGACTTTACCGAAAGAACCAAAGAAGATGAATCATTGCAGTCACGAAAGCTTTAAATCGAAATAAAACTATTGTTAGGTAGTTTCTGAAAGATATTTACAAGTTGAAATACAGTACCATGTTCTGTTAATAAAGCAAAAGTATAGATATATATGTGTGTTTGCCCACACATCTGGTCAGGGAATTACCTCTTAAGAACAATCCCACATGTTGGAAGGGGGAATTATTTAGTTGTTGCTGATTTGTGTGTGGTGTGGACTGCTCACGCTTGGCACTTTAATTATGAGCAGTGGACACAAAGATCTTTCAATAGTTCAATGGCAGTTGGGATCGTGATATCCTGCAGGCGATGTCAAGGCGGCTAAGTCAAGCAGTCATTGTGCCCCACACCGTGTGGATGTCCATAGGCATCACACAAATTTCAAGCCACGTTTGATAAAAAAAACGGAATTGAATGCTCCATAATACAACATTTTTGGGGGGGTTATGGAATGCTATAGCCCGTAAAAAGAAAGCGCTTGCGAATCGAACTTTCAACAAGATACATTTGAACACCTTCTTCCCATCCGAACTAAGATTGTCTTCCAACCCGTGCACGTGGTTCACTTACGGCTCACGGACACAGCTTTCGATGTTCAAAGCAAAAATTGTTTTTGTTTTTATTATTGCAACGTGCCTGCCTGCCTTCCTACGAGCTCTCAACACGTGCTCGTGGGTACACCAAGTGTAACACTCATCTCGATTGCATGCAAGGGGCCGTCCATAAACGACGTCACGCACCTGGGGGGGGGGGGGGTGGTCAGACATTTATGACGATGTGTGACGAGGTTGGGAGGGGGGTTGGAAAAATGTGACGTCACATCAAAATGCGCAACTTTAAATATAGACAACACGTTCTACTTAAATAGATTTGTTAATACATGTTTTCTCCTACAACATCAGAGTGCAGCGCCACATTAAATACGCACTACAATGACAACAGTTTAAAGCGATTTGAAGCATGTTTTATTTTTTTGGGGGGGTGCAGAGCTTTGTGACGTCATATTTGAGGTGGGGTCTAACTTTTTGTGACGTCGCGTGACGGGGGGGGGGTCAAAAATCGTCCAAAATCGCGTGACATCATTTATGGAGGCCCCCAAGAGGTAAAATTACAACCTACGGGGGGTTGTGCGTCTCGCTTTAATTTAGAGAGTTCTTCCGTGAAAAACATGATGCTGGGCTATTTGATTACTTAACGCGAGTGATTTCTATACCAATTTAGCGGTCCCGATTACTCGACTAATTGGACAGCACAACATTAATATTCGTATTCTTTAAATAAAAAGCTTTAAATCAAAATTTAGCACAACATTCGTTGGTGGGGGTGGGGGAGGTTACGTGTGGGGCTTGGTGACGTAATCGAAATCATCAGTCGCGTCACGCGTGGGCGTGGCTCGCTAAGGAGGGGCAGGGGGTTTCCCGCCTTCAACGAGACAGGTGGCAGCCGCCGCCATTTTTAAAAGCCCCCCCCCCCCCAATTCCCTCCCGCCGCCTCTCCCCCCCCCCCCAACAATTGACGACAAACGAAGAAGTGGATGACAATTTGGAGCGGATTCCACCGACTCGACCTTTCGGCATCGTCGCGGTTCTCAATTCGGGTCGGCGTTGCGCCCCGCGGCCAAAATCCCCGGCGACGCACGCTGCCGTCTCGGCAGGAGCTTGCGCTTGGTCGCCTGGAACGGGCAAGCAATCCACTCGTGGGTTGCCACACGTGAGCACGGACTTGGTGTGCCACCAGGGGTCAGTGCAGGGCGGAACGTCCGTTGTTGCTTGTTGGTAACACGCAAGAGGGCTTTCGCGTCCGACGTTAGTAAAGGTTTTAAAAATAATAATCTGGGTTTAACCCGTTCTGGCTATAAAACATCATGTGCGTCGATTACCGGATAAATAACCTAACCGGAAATGGATACCCAGAGTCATTGATATGCATTCATTAATCCCCCCCCTCCACTTCGCACCGTGAAGTGCTCACAAGTGACGTCATCACATCTACGGCTCTATTTAAGGAACGAAACTGGAGGATTTCTTCACAAATCTGGCTGTCGCCTGATGAAGCTGGTTGTAATTACTGGCGAAACGTCGTACTCAGATTGTAAATGTTGTGGCTTGGCTCTCTAACACACCGGTTAGTGCTGTACTAGTGACGAATTGGCCACGTTCTGTTTACGTGACAACCCTTACTAGTTGGCTGTGTCGGGTGGTGGCGGGTTTAACGACACATTTATATATTTACGCGATCTAAACCCAAAAAAAACGTACTATGAATTTAGCAGTTCTAGCAATAAAACAAGTGTTAAGATGTTCGTATGCCAAATATAAGCCTTTTGCAAGGAATCAAGTTCGCATTAACCACACCCAGTACTTGTGGCGAACATGCAAACAAACACGCTCTGATTATAACAACATATACACATTGTCTTTGAAACTGATTGGCCTACACCAGACATCAGCCTTCTTTACGGCCTAGTCTCATCAGTGTCAGACCAGAGAACGTCACAAGGCGAACACATTTCATAAAGGTTTGTTTGTTTTATTTTGGGTAAGGGGTGGGTTAGATTTACCAGGTAAAGCCCACTGAGCTATGTAGCTCTTTTTCAGAAGCGACCTGGCCGTAAATGATAACCAAGTGGCTTATCAGGTGGACGTTTATAGCAGCCAAACAACTCGAAACGTATCCATAATAGAGGGGTTTTTTGTGGGTTAGATCGCGTAAATATATAAATGTGTCGTTAAAACCCGCCACCACCCGACACAGCCAACTAGTAAGGGTTGTCGCGTAAACAAAAAAAGTGCCAATTAGTTACTAGAGTACTCTCAATTATTTTGGCAAACCTCGGCCGTCTTTGTCTCCCTCGTGGCGATGTTTACGCACCCATTAGCACGGTTGGCTACGTACGGTGTGAAAAAAGTTCAACATACAGTACGTACATAAAGGTAATCATTTGCGGCTGAGTCGACCTTGGGGAGAAGCCCCAGGACCAGTTCAGACAATCCGTGAGCGGGAATCGAACCCCGGGGCACCCAGGTTTCGCAGCGCAGCGTAGCTAGACCGCTGCAACCACCCGCCGTGGCTGCGACAAGACGCGAGTCAACTTGTGTCGATGTCTCTGCTCAAGATGCCGCAAGGGGCTGGTCAAGCGGCTGGTGCGTACGTTCAGTGACCCGGAGGGCAGCCGAGAGAAAGGTGCCGGGAGGACGTGGGAAAAAATCGCCGCGGGAAGCTGGGAGGCGAGTCCGGCGAGGGGCCCGGAGAGCTTCCCCGGAGACTGGTGGAAGAAGGGAGGGCCTAAGGGGTCCCCGGCCGGAGGCTCGGAGATGGTGGAGCTGATGAGGAGGGTGCAGAGGCTGTCGGCTCAGCTGCAGGAGGAGCAGGAAGTGCGACGGCGGAAGGGCGACGCACAACAGGTGATGATTCGACGTTCCACGTCGACGCCGGTAATAATCTCGCCGCCAGGGAGAGGTGATCTCAGAGGTCCAGGGTTTGAATCCAGGTTTCAGTCGCCTGTGATTCAACCGGGTTCTCAAGTGTAGTGATTTCCTAGTCTCAGCCTGGTCACAGATGACTGCACACACACACACAAATAACATGAAAATGTAGTTCTGTACTTAATTTGGATAAATTCCAGCTCTGAGATTGTCGGAGGGACTACAATTTGACGGACATTACAGACATTCATGTGTAGAGCGGGTGGGAAACTGCTGCCTTCTACTGTGTTTGACCAGAGATCACTTCAAGGGACCTCAGTGGTAGCTCTGTGATATCCACTTCCATGGGCCATTCAAAATATATAACACCGGGGCTGTTGGTTGTTTTTGGTAAATACAGTAACCCAGAAATATCTGGACAGAAGAGCCTAAAAGTGCCCAACATTCCATCGGAGCCACAACATTATGTACGCGTCTCGTTAATATAACTTTACTCAATAACGGACAATTGCCAACATTTGATAGTTCAGTAGAGCAGAGAGGGCGCTAATGTATGGCGATTTCCATGAATGCGGGTTTGGTAGGGTGGTAAGAAAAGCTGAGTGGCTGGGAAAAATACCCATCACCAGCCCTCCGATTAGCACGGTTGGCTTGGTAACGGTGCAAAAGAAGTCCAACCAACATAATGATGAAAGTGGCGACTGTCTTTTGCTTGTGCTCGACAACAAACAAAAGGGACAACTGTGCTACTGAAAGATCCAACGCAGATGATCCCTGGATTTGATCTTCCACGAAGCTCATGGTCCCCCCTAAACAACATCAGCACACACCATGGCAGACGCGGATACCGGACGCACAAATGGAATATTAAAAACTCTCTAGTGTGCGATTGTGGTCATTCAGAACGGACCGTACAACGTGTAACACCGCGTTGCCCGATCCGCAGATACAAAGGAGACGTCACGGCGTTACACTTATCCGCTGCTGCTGACGCGGTTGTCTGGCTTGACCACCTGAATGTGAAATTGTAGTCGTTGTTCTGCATGGGCGCCGCGGTGGTATGTTGGATCGCGCTGTGCGTAACTGGGACGGGTGGGTGATGAGGCCGAGTGAATGGGGGCGTAATCTAGCGGGACAGCGCACGGCAAAACCACCGGCACCTCCTGTGAAACTACTGCTCGGGCTGTGTGCGTGAAAGAGACAGCGCATCATATGGGTCATGCAGCCCGCATGGAGCTGAGTGGACTTGCCAGTGAGCAGTACCAGCGGTGTCAAGATCGGCCTCTGTGGAGGAGGCTCGTGAAGGACGCTGCCGGGCAGTTGGAGGCAGTCGCCCTCCAGCAACAATAGAGGGCAGAGGAGCGAAGCTCACAACAACGAGAGGAGCGCCGGGCGGCTAAAACACAGCAAGTTGGCACAGTAGGGGAGCACAGCTGGTGCATCTGCCAGTCAACCCAAGGCAAGACCTCCTGCCAGCGGGCGTTCGACGCTTCACGCGGCCTTAAAGCGCACGTAGCCTGGCACAAGCGCCGTGGTGACGTCGCCGTCACTTGGTGGTGAACGGCGGTTGTTGTTGTTGTTGTTGCTGCATTCCATAGCGATGTAACCCCCCCCCCCCCCCACCGCGCTCTGAGCGCGGTGCGAAATTCCCCGAATGCGCTCGCGATTTGCTCGCAGTGGAGGGAAGGGCTCGTGGCGGAGCTGCGCGCCCGGCGAGAGGAGGGCCGGAGGCTGCAGACGGAGCTGCAGGTCCTGGAGGCGGAGCGCGTGCGGCTGTCCCTGGTGGAGGAGAAGATGGGCGACGTTCTGCACGCGATGCGACGCCTCGGGACGCTGGTGAGCGAGCGCAGCGCCATCGTCGCGCGGACACGAGCCGGTTCCCGGCCACGCCGCCGGGCGCCATGACGGGGAGATGTTAACTACCTCGCCTGGTATACAGGAGGTCGTGGGGTCGATCCCGACCCTGACGATGCCTGTTGTATATTAGGAGTTTGCGTGTCTCTCCGCCCGTGGTCGCATGGATTTTTCTTTGGGCCCTCCGGTTTTTCCCTCCACATGTAGAAACACGCGTTTAGAGTATTGGCTGCTATACATTTCCACGTGATATACTAGCCAATTCGTCCAGCTATCATTTGTTATAGCCAGGTCGCTTCTGAATAAAAGCTATATAGTTCAGCGGGCCTTATATAGTGAAACAAAAACAAGTTTTGTTTAATAGTTGGTCTCTAAAGGTAATGGGCTTACGCTGACAATCCCCTACCCCAAGCCAGCCGGTCTCGCAACGTTGCGGAAAACACCGAGCTGAGAAACGAAAGCCCCCGGGGTTAAACGACTGACGCTCACCTCCCTCCTGGCGCGTTTCCCCCGCGCCCACCGTGCGGTCGACTGCGCAGAACGCGTCCAGGCACCTGCTGGGCAAGATCCTCCTGGACACGCTGGAGTCGTGCCGGGACGTGGGCGGCCGCGACGACGCCGCGGGCCCGGAGGACGTCTCGGCCGTGCTGGACGCGCTGCGCGAGCGGCTGTCCGCGTGCGACCCGCTCGGTGCGGTGCACCTCGAGCCGCTCGGTCCGGGACAGAGGAGGACGTCCACCACAGCCGCCGCCGCCGCCGCCGGCTCCTCCTCCTCCTCCCCCGCTCCCTCCTCCTCGTCGTCCTCCTTGTTGTTGTCGTGCTGAGGGCGACATTCCTTTCGGTTGCTCTGAAGCTTCGGGAGAGAAGGGTATGGGGGGGGAATGAGAGGGGGCTTTAGTAGCGAATGAGGATAGATTGAAATCACGGGCAGAGGAGGAGAGGAAGGTTCTCAAGCCTGGGCTTAAACGGGTGGGGGGAGCAGAGGATGGAGTCAGCAGTGTGGATGTATGTTGATTAACTTCTTCAATGTATCTTGAACTTCTTTCGCGCCGTACGTTGCCAACCATGCTAATTGGAGGTGGGGGGGGGAGAGGGAGGACAACAAACTAAATGCAAAAAGCGGTTCTAAAGAAAATGAGTTTGTCAATCAAGACGACGATTTAAAAGTGCACTGCCCCAGTGGCTTCCTAATATCGGAAGGGAGAGCGTTCCAGACGGCCGCAGAAGCGCACCTGCAAGCTCGCGATGGATGCCCAGAGGAAGGGAGTTCCAGGCTGTGGGGAGAAGCATTTGCAGCAGCAGAGAATGATGAGGGAGGGGGTGGGTGAGGATGTGTCCATGAAGATGGTGAAATACTCGGGTAGAGACATAGCGGATAGGGATAAACAGACAGACAAGCACGTGGCCTTGGTTGCGAGAGTGCAGTGGAGATGTGGGCAAGGGATGACACCACGCAGAATCTAGAATCATTTTTTTCTTTTTAAATGGGTTAGCTCACGCAAATGTGTCGTAAACCTACCTCCACCGGACATATTTAATGAGTAAGGTTTGTCACGTGAACAGACCTTGCCAAATTGTTTCGGCTGATGATGCTGGTTTTTGTCATCACCAGCGAAACATCGTTAACTGAATTTGTAAAAGTTGCTGTGGGTTTGCTCTCCAGCACACAACCGGTGGTGCTGAAGTAGTGACGAATTGGCCCGTTCTGTTCACGCGACAAACATTATCGATTGGCTATCTCGGGTGGAGGTGGCTTCTAGACACATTTACACGATATAACATAACAAAAAAAAACGTTATCATGAATAATATTGGTCGTGCAAGCCTTTACGTGTTAGAATCTTGAACGTGGCGAGAAGCGATCTTGAGGTTCATTCAAAATTGGACGAAGAAGCTGAAGATTGTGGTGACGTGGTCTCGGTAGGAAACGTTCGGCTTCGGACAATGAACAGGTGACAAGCATTGATGTTTACCGCAGAAAAAGGCTTTGAATTGTTGTTTTATCGACGCATGAGGATACGGCTCACAGAACGTTAGTTTGTGTAAGATTGTCAACTGCTTCGCCGTGTTGAGTGCGTGGGCTCGCGTGGTTTTAATCGCTCGGTTGTCCAATCTCAGAATTCGAACACTTGTTGCGTTTCGCGCTCATTTGGAGGAGCAGCGGTGGACCGTTGCCCGAAGGGTCCAGGCGCGTCCGGCACGGCAGCGTTTGAAACCCACAGCGCATTGCCCCAGTGGACTCTGGGTGTCCCATTTAATAACCAACCGGACACCGATCTCACTCGCCGTGTAATAAAGCAAAGTGTTGACGTTTTGGTCGATCAACCGATGAGACGTGTGGACCCACGTTTGTCCAGTGGTGGTGGGGGGGGGAGAACTGACAAGGGAGTGGTGAAGTACTGATGGTAAAGCAACCTCCACAACCACGTGGGGAGGCGTGTATCCTGCAGTGGACTGACAAAGGGCTGGTAATTGCCGCAGCATGCATTGCAATGGCAAAGAGAAACAATGAGTTTGTGGGTGTACAAGACAAACAGCCCTCACCCAAAACTAGCCAGCCAGCCAAAGCATCTCGTCACATTGGCCGCATTGGCCCTACACTGGTGTTGTTCACTACTTTTCAGAGGGGGGGCACTTTCGCCGATAAAACATCAGTGTGAAAGACGCCACACATTTGAAACCGTTGGGGGTTTGACAGCAGCACGATGATTATGGGGGGGGGGGGGGGGGGGGGTGTCTCACGTTGTGTCTGGCTGTCGCCTGATGAAGCGAGTTGTAATTACTGGCAAAACGTCGTACTCAGATTGTAAACGTTGTGGCTTGGCTCACCAACACACCGGTGTGCTGTACTTGTAACGAATTGGCACGTTCTGTTTACGTGACAAACATTACGAATTGGCTTTGTCGGGTGGTGGCGGGTTTAACGACACATATTTTTACGCGATCTAACCCACAAAAAAACAACCTGTATTATGGATGTTGTGTATTGTTGGGGGTGATGCATGTCAAGGGCCGCACAAAAGGCCACCAGTGGCCTTCGCGCCCCCGACGTGGGCCACGGCCCTGTTTAGTGCACGTGCCAGACAATGCCTGTGACCAGCCCCTCCTGCAAACGCCCCATTCGTTTTTTTGTCTGCAGTCATCGGAGACCGTGAACTCACTCGGCTTGAGCGGCCAGTTTTAATCACGATCGGGCCCGTTTAAACTCCGTGGGTCTCCACGCCGGTCATCGGCGACTGGGGTTAACGCCCATCGTCGCCGAACTCGCTGCATTTGAGAAACCCGGTGTAAATCACGGGTGGCCGAAAGCCAGATCTGAACTCGGGGATTCTCAGCATTGCCACAGGCTACGGCGCTCCGAGCCAAGTCAGCCCACAAGGCTGGGGGATCTGCCCTGCCAGCCTTTCGCAACAGCAAGCACACGTCGCACAATTGATCCTTGTGGCGGTATCCCGGGGTACCAAATAACACAAAATGGCCGAGGCAATTAAATATATTATTTCTGGGACAATATTTCTGTTCAGGGGTGAACTTCACTCCGCTACTGGGGTACCAATCAATCCGAAATCGGTGCCACTCCGCAATGTCGAAACGCAGCGAGGACGACTGCGCCGAAACCCCGAACGCCCGCGGCACGCACCGTGGCGGTGGTGCATCATCGTGTCCAGCTCCGTCGATGCGAGTCGATTGCCGCATCGCCGACCATCAACAGACTCAAAATGACTGCATCACGGACATTATGTGAGAGCCGAGGTACACAATTATTGCACAATTTGCGGTGCACGTGGTTAGATGGCAAGGACAACTATCCCGTCGTCGCCCGTTTAGCCAATCACAGATTGTTGGGTGCAAGTGCTGTCGAGACCGGCACAGCCAACAGCCTCTCCCTCCCCACGTTGGTGATGTCCACGCACCCCACCCAGGGTGTGCCGTGCCCGTTTAAGGCCGAAGTCGACCCCAGGGGAGGCCAAGCAACCGTCTCAAGACTCGACATTCGCCACCGCCGTCACCGACGTACGCGGGCCCGCGAGCGCGGAGGGGGGTTCGTGGCGGACAGCCACGGTGAGTTAGGTTCGAAAGAGGGCGAGGGCGGTGAACACATCAAACGATGAACGGAATTAATGGATGGGCGGCGCTGCGATGCAGTGGGTGGGTGAGACCCCATCGGCCGTTGTCTGCGAGCGCTATCGGCGGAGCAGATGGCCTTGGATGCGGTCCAGGGAAGCAGGTGGCCGGTTCTGATAACGCGAGAGATGCCTCTCCGGAGAGGGCATCAGCGATAGACGCACGGCACGGCATGCACGCGAGGTTTTAAGCTCCAAATTCCACCGTGGTCATCCAGTTCCCTGAATGCACAGACACAACGCACGCGGCGGGCACACGGTGATAATAAACAAATACCACCGCAACCCTGCACAGCTGCCTGTCTGCTCACGCCACCGCACCTCCGATTAGCGCGGTTGGCTGCGTAGGGTGCGAAAGAAGTTCAGCTTGCGTCCGTACGCACATGTGCACTCCGACTCGCTCGGTAACTGAGGTGTAGGCGGATATGCGAAAGCAGCGGATATGTGAACATACGGCTGTCATTTACCATTCATTCCTCATCGTCATTTACTGTCATCAATTTCGCTTTCACCGAATTTACGTATCACAGATTCGCCACCCATTGCTTCCTCTCATCCATCTCATTCACCCCCATCTCCACCATTACATTCATTCTGTATGCACCTTTCTTAATTTTCCGTAAAGCGCCTTTGTTAAGGCGCTATGTAAATTACGTTAAGATAATGTCTATAGAGCATGACAGTTGCACCGTGAACAAATACTGCGCTGGGATGTGGACAGTTAATTGGTCAGGGCTGATATGTGACGGGTCAGATGTTTTCAGTTTCATGTATTAGGTATAACCTTGTGAGCCATGCGGCTCTTGACTCGGGTGCAAACCGCAACAAACAAAAACATGAACAAGAAACATCTTAATGAACAAGAACATCTTAGATGTGTGACGTACTGTACTGCAATGGCAATTTCACGATGAACTTAGGCTGAGGACATGCGCCGGTGGAGGTTAATCAGCCCTGCATAGGAGTGTGGAATTTCCACCGCTGAATTGGAGAGGGGCATTGGGACACTATGAGACAACGAACCACCGTAGGGGGTCGTGTGTTTTTAAAAGTTATTTGATTAGAACTTCTCAACGCAGTGCACGGTGCCACTGTGAAAGACCCAACGCAGAATATCCCTGGGTTTGATCTTCCACGAAATTCACGGTCCACCCTAAACCGCATCCACTGCACAAACCATGGCAGACGCGGACACCCGATGATGCGCAAATGGAAAATTAAAATCTCTCCAGTGTGCGACTTTGGTGATCCCGAACAGACCGTACAATCCACAAATACAAAGGAGATGTCACGGCGATACACTCCGCCACTGCTGACACGGTTTGTCTGGCTTGACCACCTGAATTTGAAATTGCAGCTGTTGCTCTGTATCTACATGGGTGCCGCGGTGGAGAGACGTTAACTCCCTCGACCCTGATGCCTGTCTATTTGGAGTTTGCGTGACTGTCTCCCCATGGTCGCGTGGATGTTTCTCCAGGTCCTCCGAGTTTTTTCCTCCACATTTAGAATCAACATCACCACGCGTTTCGAGTGTTTGGCTGCTGCTATCAATGCCCACACAATGATAACCCCCACTTCGTCGGGCTATCGTTTGTGATAGTCAGGTCGCTTCTGGAAAAAAACAAGAGCTACACAGTGAGGCTTACCTGTTAAAATAAAAACAAAAATTGTTTTAATAGTCAGGCCACCGACCAACGAGTCAGAGCCACCCAACTCGTGGCCTTCACGCTCGCATGGCACAGGGAGGGAGTTGGCAGTGACCGAGGAGAATCGGCGGCGGGGGGGGGGCAGTGCCGGATGAAGCTAGTGCGGGGGCCTGTAGCATCTGTTATAAAGGGGCCCCAAATAACAAAAAAAAACACAAAAAAATTAAACCACATGCATATTTAACTTGCAGAGTAAAGTAATTATATGTTTTATTTGCAATACAGCCAGAAAATACAACAAATCGCTAACCTTAAACACCCAGTCGTTCATGAAAGTTGAAGGCG